CTACACTGCATGTCAGTGACTCATGCCAGCCCAGCCCCAAAGTGTGGGGGGGCGGAATTACCCTCAAACCTCCTCCTCCCCAGCACTGAACTGGGCAGACCACAACTGGGGGGATCTCAGGCCAGCCTGGGGAGAGGTGTGGGACTCCCCCCATGGTCAGATCCCTAGCTCAGGGGGCTGGCACCGGGAGGGGGTTCTGCCCTATGGAGGTAGGCTGGAGGGCATGCTCCAGTGCCCCTCGCCTTCTGGCCTGGTTAAGTGCAGGTTTCCACCTGACTTTTCCCAAGTGAAAACTGAACATCAGTTCAGTTCATTATTGGTTCAATCGACCCAGTTTAGAGAAACCTGTGAAGACTGAATTGATTCAGTCTCAGGCAGTCTTCCTAGAAGATCAACATACACAGACTTTCTCAGACCAAGAGCGAGAGTAAGTGTCCTCATGGAGAATGCCCAGCTAAATATAACCCCTCTTTTCTGTAACAAGGCCAATCCATCTCTAGTGTCTCTACTAATTAGCTATGGCAGCACAGCACTCGGAGGGTGACTGTATTTAGCTCTCCCTTTTGTTTTATAAAGGAAAATAGACCATGTGTCGTTTTCTCTCTCTCAAATTAATGCTCTGATGCATAAGAGATTTGCTGAGAATCAAGAAACAGTGGTGATGATGAGTAATTAGCCTATTTAGCATAGAATCCCCAAAATAACGTGCACAAACCCTGTAATATGCCAGGTATGCCTGGATTATCACAAATGCCATGTGCTCATTGATGTCAGGCCTGCATTGCTTTCAAAGGGAATACTTTGTGCTCTGACAGACCCGAGCTTGTGTGTTGAAAACTTTTACAATCTTTCTTTTTCCTGGCCTTCAGGTAATTGGAGGAAGATAAGAGCTGATACAAAAAGCATCTGGCTACACTAAATGATCCCCTTGTGGTGGGTTATGAGTATAACAAATTACCTGTGAAATTTTCATTTTGGAAGTTAAATTAATGAGCCAACACTGACTGTCCTTGAATTTGTTCCTAATAGAAATGCTTGTGTAGCGTCTTTCATCCTGGTTTCTGAAGTGCTTCACAGACATTAATTAATTATTAATTAATTATGATCCCATTTACCTTCTGCACCTGCAAAGCAGAATGTGTGTATGTAAGTGCATGAAAAATGGCAAGGAGATAAAATAAGACTTAAGAACAGTGAGGAAGAAAATATTTCTTAATAGCCCCTAGAGACTTTTTCACTACTTCATCACTTCGGCTTAAAGCCTGATTTTAATGGAATAATACCAATTCACACCAGTTTTGAGTCTGGATTTTAACATATTTAGATGGACCCTGAAGAGTAATTTAGATGGGTGGTGTAACAGGGTGGCCAGTTCCCTTACGAAATGACCACTCTGTTAAATAACCCCAGCTAGGTGCCTGTCCAATTTCTTCTTGAACACCTCTAAGGTAGGGGAAAGGACCACCTCCCCTGGAAGCCCATTTCACGTTTTGGCAACCCTCTCCGTAAATAATTTCTTCCTGACATCCAATCTAAATCTACTCTCCTTTAGTTTATGGCTGTTATTTCTAGTAACCCCGAGGGGTGCCCTGGTAAACAAAGGTATCCCCTGTTTCCACATGGCCCACCCTGATGAGTTTGTAGACAGCCAAAAGATCACCTCTCAGCCTTCTTTTGCGGAGGCTGAAGAGATTCAGGTCCCTCAGTCTGTCTTCATAGGATCTTACCCTCAGGCCATCAACCATATGAGTAGCCCTTCTCTGAACTCTCTCAAGGTTATCCACATCCCTCTTGAAGTGTGGCACCCAAAACTGGACACAGTACTCCAACTGTGGCCTGACCAGTGCTGCACAGAGGGGAAGTATCACCTCCCTAGATCTGCTCATGATGCACCTACTCATGTTGCACCTACTAATGCAAGAAAGAGTGCGGTTTGCCTTACTTATTATCTCACCACATTGGCAACTCATGTTTATTTTTGCATCGACTAAGACTCCGAGATCCCTTTCCCCTGACGTGGTGCTCAGAATGGTAATTCCCTGTCTATAGGTTTATTGGAGATTCGTTCTCCCCAGGTGCAGCACTTTGCGTTTATCCTTGTTAAATTGCGTGCTATTCTGATCTGCCCACTTCCCTAGTCTATCCAAATCTACCTGGATTTGCTCCCTGCCCTCCAGTGTGTTAACTGTACCCCATAGTTTGATGTCATCTGCGAATCTGGACAGAGTGCTTTCAACCAGAGTGCCCTCATTCAAATCACTGATGAAGATATTGAACAGCACTGGTCCAAGGACAGAGCCCTGGGGAACACCACTGCCCACATCTCTCCAGGGAGAAACTGCCCCATCCACCACCACTCTCTGGGTGCTTCCCATAAGCCAGATTTTCACCCACCTTACTGTGAAAAAATCCATATCACAGCTACTCACTTTGCTTGTAAGAATTGGGTGCAACACTGTGACAAAAGCCTTTTTAAAGTCCAAGTAAATAACATCTATCTCCACCCCTGAATCTAAGCACTTTGTGACCTGGTCATAAAAAGAGACCAGGTTAGTCAGGCAGGATGTTGCCTGCTATAAACCCATGCTGGTTCCCCCTTAACATTGTATTACCTACTGCCCCCCCCCACCTCCCCCATGTGATCCTTTATGATTTTTTCTAAGGTCTTGCCAGGAATAGAGGTGAGGCTAACCGGTCTATAATTACCCGGTTCTTCCTTCCTCCCTTTCTTGAAAATAGAGACCACATTCACCCTTTTCCAGTCTTTGGGGACCTGTCCTGAGCACCACGAGTGCACAAACAGTTGGACCAGTGGTTTCGTAATGACCAGTTCCTTTAGTACCCTTGGGTGAAGATCATCAGGGCCTGCCAACTTAAATATGTCCAACCCCTCCAAGTGCCCTTTCACTAGGTCAGCGCTAACTGTAGGTGGATTGGTATTTCTCTCATGCCAGGCTAAAATCTTATTGGGAGGTATCCAGGAACACAGATGCAAAGAAGTAATTTAAAAGCTCTGCTTTATCCATCCTGTCTGTTACGAGTTGCCCTAGTCCATTCTGTAGTGGCCCTATGCTACCCTGTGCCTCCTTCTTGCTCCCTATGTACTTAAGGACTTTTTGTTACTCTTAATCTTTGTTGCCAACTTAGGTTCAGTATCTGCTTTGGCCTTGCTCACTGCTTCCCTGCAAGTGCGAGACAAGCAGGTCTACTCTTCCTTGGTGGCCACCTTCTGCTTCCACAGCCTGTAGGCCTCTTATTTCCTCTGAAGGCTCTCCTGGATTTCCCTGCTCAGCCAAGAAGGTTTTTTGTCTCTTTTGCCTCCCTTTGTGTGAACTGGGATGGTACCCCTCTGTGCCTGCAGGATCAATCCCTTGAGGAACTCCCACCCTTCTGGGACTCCCAACTCACTGATGCGATTACCCCTCAGTCCCATTCTAACTAATCTCCTGAGCTCGTTGAAGTTGGCCTTCCAGAAGTCTAGCACTTCTACCCTACTTGTTGTCTTTCCCACCTTTCACCAGATAGTGAATCCGATCAACTGGTGGTCACTATCCCCTAGGTGACCTTGTACCTGTAGATCCCCCACCAAGTCCTCCCCTGTGACCAGCACCAAGTCAAATATGGCATTTCCCCTTTCTTCAGACCAAGGTTGGATGCCCTTCTGGAAAAGCAAGCTTTAATCAGGCAAGATGTTGGGCTCAGGGTGTGGGTAACTAGTTGAAATATAAGGGCTTGTGATGCGACTGAATGGCCCCTTTGGGCTCTAAACTTTGTGCATCTTTTTAGTTTGTTTACAAGGCACACCTGACAGCACATTGTGTACGGTTACATGCACTTCGTTTTCTTGTTTGGCATTTTCTTCCTGCTTGAAGACATTCTTATAAACTTCACTAGGAGGGAGAAACAGTCCTTAGGATTTTAGCAGCTTGTAAAGAAAATGATGCAAGACACGCATTATTTTTGACTGGGTGTTTAAAAATTAATCAATATATTTTAAATAATTTACAATGTATCAAAATGACAAAAAAGTCTCTGTCAGTCCTGATCTAAAGTACGGAATAGTATACAAAGATAACTGGGTACATTGCCAATTTCAGAACAAGCATCCATGTGACAAAAGTAAAAGTTAAGAAACTTGATTTGTTGCCAGCCTGGTCCAGGGTCTCAAGAATTTTGACTTAAAGACTTAAGTCAAAACACTTAAAACCGTCCTTCTGACTTGGGAAAGTACTTCACCCATGCCTGATTTGGAGCATAGGATTTAAATATGGGCTTAAGAGCCCATCATAGGAATTTGCTGAATCACAGGAATCCTAAATTCACAGGCTGCCATTTATCAAAGCAGTGCTAAAAGGGTTCACTTCAGCCTCCTGCGCACCCCACAACCACAAAGCACTTTATGGGAACCCCCCCCAAATACACAACAGTGTGGTATAGGTAAAAAGCAGGTGAGGGAGGTTGGGTTCAGCCAATATCCTGCCACTGTATAGGTCAAGTTAATGTATGTTTGGAAGATCCTAGGAAGAGGACTGTGCCCTATCCTCCAGAGGAAGGTCAAAACCCCTACATTCCTTGCCAATTTGACTTGGAGCAGAGGTGAAATTTTCTTCCTTGATCCTAAATCTGTGAATATGTTTTGCCCTGAATGGAAGAGCAAGCTCCCCCTTCCCCCCAGCTAGGTCTCCAAAAGGTTTCCAAGTATCAGTAGGAGTGCCAGGATTTGCCTTCTTGCTATTTTCTTTCTGTTGAAGGGACTGCAGTTTTACTGCGGGGGACAGGGCACATGACTCCCAAGCCATGCAGATATTCCAAGATACCAGAGCCTTCCCTGCTACCTGACAAGATAGCTAAGGTTGTGCTGTCATTGTACCCTTATCCACACCTGTGCACCACTTCCTGAAATAGGAGCAGATGTTAGTGTGGATACTCCCCAGGTTACCTTTCTTGAAAATTCTTCAGTGTTGCCATTGAACAATGCTGCATATGGCAACTGTCTCCAAGTTCCTCCCATTTCTGCTCTTTCTCTTCTGTATCTTCATAAGCACAGTCACATCAGTGAGCTTGGGAGGAGAAGAAAAGAAATGACTGTTTTGGTTCCAAACCCCCTTTTCCTGGCACTGTCAAATGGCAGTGTAATCACTTACTTTAATACCATCAGCTCAGCACTTCAGGGATCTGATTCCTTGGAAGTAATGGATTTCTCTCTAATATAGTTCATTGGATCAGATGCTAACCATTTCTAATTAGCTTAATTCCAGTCAGGCAAATATGCTTTAATGACATTTTCCAGCCCAGGGATACTCAATTTTTATACTGATTGGGTATCTTCCGCTTAGCTAAGTGAGACTGAAGGATACCTTTTCATTTGCTGTAAGATCAGAAAAAAATAAAAAGACATCCATTGCCCCACTTTGAAAAGTAAAACTTCTCCACTCTTGTGTGTGCACCCCTCCCCCTTCTGTAGTTGTTGCATTTGAGATTCCTTGTGGAGAGACTGGCTTTCATAAGCCTCAAGTGCTAGAAAATCTGATAAAGGGGGGGATTTCTCTTGGACCCTAAAAGGGTGCTACTGATCATGTCATTACTCAAATATTTTACTTTAATTGGGTCACTAAAGCAGATGCACTAAACTGTGCAAACATTCTTGCCCAGGGGTGGGCAAAATACAACCTGTGGGCCAGATCCTTCCCACCAAGTGACTGGATCTGGCCCATGGCTGCCCCTGCAGTGCTCTTCATGGAGCCAAGCCCCACCTGCTTGCCCCAGGGAAGCCCACACTGGGTTCCTGTCAGCGCCCACAGCCTGGCCCCAGCCAGCGTGTGCA